TCACCTGACACTTGCAAAAATAAATACACAAAAAGGTTTTCACTGTATTTTTAAAATGAATTATAATGAAAATAGAAACATAACTTTGAGGGCCAGGGAGGGGATACGGGATTTGTACACAATTATATGGAGGGCCAGTAATTCTGAAAAAACTATTTTTAAATGTCAAGGCTAAATAGAGTAGGCATAAGTTTAATATAAAAATGCCTGTCCATACATGTTCAAATCAAACATCAAATTTAACAAATTTTGACATTTGAAACGTCGGCTTAAAGCAAATACAAAAACTTTTGTAAAATGAAACTTTTGGTAAGTTTTTAATTGGGATAAAAAGATTATACAAATTAATATTGTATATTATTTTATTCAGTCGTGCGTTGTATTCGTGGGACTGTTGGCAGTGGCCTACTCTATAACAATAGTTACCGATCCCATCAGTAACTACAGGTCCTATAACCCTTGGGGTTGGAAATCGTCGGGTATTAGCTATAACTACGGCCACCGATTGTATGACATTCCATACGTGAGACCAGCCATGTATGGCGTTTATAACCACCGAATCGCACCGGTATATACTAATAGAGTGATGGACCAAACATGGATGGGATATGGTTTAGGATATATGAGATATGGTTTGGGATTAGGACACGGTTTGGGTGGTTACAGAATGTTACATTAAAATATTGTTAAACCATTGAATTTGGTTTAAGAAAAATCCAATTCAGAAATCAAAATGTAAATTAAAATGAAAATTCAATTGTCATGTTAAGTTACCATTTTTTGTAATACTTATTTTGTTATAAAACTTTTCAATAAAAATATTTCATTAATGTTTTGTGTTGGTCATTTAAAAAACTTATAACTAACTAAATTATATATATAAGTAATTAAAATATAAATATTTATTACTACAATTTTTAAGAGTAAGTAAACATTACAGTTTTATCAATTTTGAAAATCAATTAATTTTTGATATGAGGCAAGATAATATGATTAATACTTTTGTAAAATCTTCATTAAATACATGATAGCATACACATCTTGCGACCACTCAAATATACTGTACACCACATTATCACTATTTTCACTTATATGTAGATTAGTTAATACTAAAGGGTTCAAAACTTATTAATAGAAAATACATATATTTGATAATATATTTGAGTAGTCGCAAGATTCGTTTGCAACCACGTATTTAATGAAGATTTGACAAATGTATTATTCATATTATCTTGCTTCATATAAAGACAATCTCAAAACATTATCAAAATTATAATCAATTATAAAAGAATATCTAATAATTATATTTATAGAATTTTTAATGTTTTATTTAAAGCTACTTTCTAAATGTATAAAATTACTAAGAGGAGATTAGGGTTCAGCAATAAATCAAACTATATGGTAAACAATCCCCGACAATACACTGCTGTACTGTCTGGGTGATTTAGATGAAAACTAAAAATGAAAATAATGTTAATTGTGACTATTTTTATCTACTTTGTTCAGAATTCCTATTCCAGGGAACAGGTAGTTATGCGTGAATACTATGTATTACAGATGAGAGGTTAGGGGCCACAGTTGTCAGCATCTCAATCATCCAAATATATTTTGTGGATATCTCAAGGTTAGGGCCAAAACTGTTTTTTGACTATAAAAAGGTCCACTAAATCAATGATATATTACAAACTGCTTTTTAAGTGAATAACATTTAATAAAGTCTTTCAAAGTTCTCAACAAAACCCAAAACAAAATGAAACTTTTGGTAAGAATTTAAAAAACTTTTTTGTTTGTAAAACAATTCTTAAATATATTTAACATATTTTATTGTAATATTCCGCTTAGTATTTGAAAATATTAATATTTGTGCTAGACTTATATTATGCTAGACTTAATTAGTATTATTTCTATATTACAATTATTAATTATGCTTATTTATAATTTCTCAAAAATTACTACAATTTGAAAAAACATAAATAATTTCAAACTTATATTTGCAGTTCTGCTTCGTATTTGTGGGACTGTTAGCCGCTGTTTACGGCACAATCATAACCTCCCCCTACGGCTACGGTTACGGAAATGGGTATGCCAGCTCGTATGGCAGTTATTACCCATCGTATGGCTACGGCTCATCGTATGGACGCTCTGTCTATTCATCGCCCTATTATGGCTATGGAGGCTACAGCGGGTACGGCGGTTACAGCGGCTACGGACTGGGATATGGTGGTTACCGGGGTTATTGGTAGTTATCGACTGTCGCCTCTCATCTAAAAACACTCGAAACCAACCAAAAACTGCTCACTATTTTTCATAAAATATTTGTTTGTTTGCAATGAAAAAAATTCTCAAAAACTTTTGTAATTGAAATGCTTTTCTTTATCGCTTCAAAATAAATACATAAAAAACTTTGCAAAATGTGACCATTTATTTGAAAATAATATCGATATTTGTTTGTTTGCAATGAAAAAAATTCTCAAAAACTTTTGTAATTGAAATGCTTTTCTTTATCGCTTCAAAATAAATACATAAAAAACTTTGCAAAATGTGACCATTTATTTGAAAATAATATCGATAAACCTAAATAAAACTCTGAATTCCAAAGATCTCTAAATATGGTCTGAATTCATCATAAGTTATATAAAAATTATTAGAAAAATAGTTTTCACACAATAATTATTGTAGAAACTTAGGTCTGAATATATATAAAGTTTATACAAAAACTTTAAATTCGCATAAAATTAGTGAAAGTAATATAAGATATAAATAGGTTTTTGCAAATAAGTGAAAGGACCCATCAAATGATTAGTGCTATAGTTGAATAGCAAGTTCATGGTCGCAACCAATTTTGGCAATTGCTATAAAAACTCGATTTTAAGCCCAGAGCTAATCAAATCAGTAAAAAACAACCTGAGGCCCACTCTACTAAAACACAGATTACTGTACAATGAAACTAATAGTAAGTATATATTTGTTTGTTTGCAATGAAAAAAATTCTCAAAAACTTTTGTAATTGAAATGCTTTTCTTTATCGCTTCAAAATAAATACATAAAAAACTTTGCAAAATGTGACCATTTATTTGAAAATAATATCGAGAAACCTAAATAAAACTCTAAATTCCAAAGATCTCTAAATATGGTCTGAATTCATCATAAGTTATATAAAAATTTTTAGAAAAATAGTTTTCACACAATAATTATTGTAGATACTTAGGTCTGAATATATAAAGTTTATACAAAAACTTTAAATTCGCATAAAATTAGTGAAAGTAATATAAGATATAAATAGGTTTTTGCAAATAAGTGAAAGGACCCATCAAATGATTAGTACTGTAGTTGAATAGCAAGTTCATGGTCGCCTGGTTAAAACCGTTAACGATATTTTTGAGCTAAAATTCGGGTCTCGATTAGTTTAGTCATTTTTTGTTGGACTCCGGGTGAGATGATTTTGTGTCTAATGACATGTTACTTTGATTATCATTCATATATTTTTTAAATATTGCCAATTTATATGAATTTAGTTTTATTTACTTCTGATTTAGTTTTTCATTTTTGTGGCACTCATTATATGCACGGCTACTGCAAACGCTAGAATTGGGGGCCGACACGGGTTGAGAGGTATTGGCTATGGTGGACACCATAACAAAGGACATGGAGGTTTTCATGACTGGCTTTTACACTATAAGCCTGCACACCGTTCTGGACATAAGAACTATCGGCGACACCAGACAACCAATGATTTGAATCACAATTAAATTATAATTTGTCTTAAACTATCAGCTTTACTGTCAATGAAATAAAAATTTTTCTTAAAATTATTTTCTTTTAATACTCTATTTTATTGATTAGTTTTACCCAAAAATTGTATGCTTTAAAAGTTGTATCAGAATAAATTCTTTGTGCTTAAGATTTATTGCTTTTAGAGTTTAATGCTTCAAAAGTTTCCCAAAATGTCACTTCAGTTATGGGTTTGTTGTGGTTTAGTTTGTAAACAAGAATATTATTGAAAGGTTTGTTTGCCTTTTAAACCCCAGACAACAATCAAACTACCCTTTCATACCCTCAGGTCTTTTTGTACATCAATACTCCCTGTCCTCGCAAATAGTTTTTAAAATATTTCAGTAAAAGCAAAACCTTGTTTATAGTGTAAACAAAAAAATAGGATTCACGTCATTAAAAACTTTTATTTCATAAAATTAATTACAATTTATAGCACAGACTACATATTGAATGGCAATTATATATTATATTTATAAGAGGATCTGGTTTTGTATTTAGAGATTCTTCTGTCTCTTTGTTCTCGCGATTGACGCAAATGTCTTCACTTTAAANCAAATGTCTTCACTTTAAATAACAGTCTTCTGGAGACAGTAATGGATGAGAGAGAGAGAGAGAGAGAGAGAGAGAGAGAGAGAGATAAGGGCAGGGTCAAAGGGGGACACTAATAGTTAAGGTAAAAATCAAGGTTAAGGTTTTGGAGTAACAAAAAACTTTTTCGCTATAAAAGGTGGCCACAAGTGACTCCCAAAATCATATCCAATACTTTTGCTGTGAAAGTAAAAACTTATTTGTGTTTTCGTGAACCGAAGCTTTGCTCAAAACTTTTCATTAAAAATGAAATTCTTGGTTAGTTTTGTATATAAATTACTGTTTATATACTTTTACCTTAATTTCTATGCTTTTATACTAAAAATGAATGTGAAATTTGCTTTTGAAGGTATGTCTCGCTCTGATGGTGGCCACGGCCTACGCCACAATCATAACCCAACCTGCTAACTACAACTACGGCGGCTATGGTCTGAACTATGGCTATGGTCTTAATTACCCGGTCAGTTACGGTCTCAACAACGGCTACTACGGACTGAGTGGCATCCCATACGCCAGACCCGTCTCATACAGTTCCTCATACGTGGTGCCATCGGTTCGTTACACTCAACCCGTGTATTCATCGTATGGTTTGGGCTATGGTTACGGTTTGGGAAGTGGTCTTTGGTATAATAAATAGACACCAATACAGCCACCCATATGTCTGTTCGCTATTTAATTTAAAAAACAAAAAATAAAATAAAATCTCATAAAATACTCATTTATAAAATGAACAAACTCATTGTAATGATGAAAATGAATTTAAAATGTTTTATTGGTTTGAAATAAAAATTCAGTTTTTTGCGCAAACATACAAACTTTTGTTACTTAATTGATCAATGAAGGTAATAATTGCTTCGATGGGTCGGTTGTCCCAAAAAATTAGATAAATTTTATTCATAATTACTTTGATCGGTAATTGGTAGGTACCGCATTTATAAATAATTTTACATTTAAATAAAAACAATTGAAAGGATATAGTGGTGAATACAATAATATTCTGTAAAATAAAATTAAAAATAAAAGGCTATGATTAAATATATTTTTTGTCTATTAAATTTATGAAGTAAAATAAAGTAAATTACTTATAAATTGATACCATTGTTTAATTAAATATTATAGTTATAATTTATATAATATTAACATTATATTTACAAATTAGCACTAAAATATAACTTATGAACTAAATTTAATCAGATTTTACACTAAATATGCACTAAAGATTTGTGAAGTAAAACACTACCTTAACTTAACTTACCTTAACACTACCAGTACACTTAACTTTGCACTTCCAGTATTTTCAAAACTTATTTTTACTCTAAATAAATAGGTATAATTATTAAATTAATTAATAATATATCCTGTATCATCTCATGAAAATGTGTAACTCAGTGTAAAAATTGATAATGAGCATATGTGATGATTATATGGGACACTGAGCATATTTTACAAATACAGATATAGTGTGCTGTAAGTATTCTATGCCAATAAAAACTATAAAAATGACCTGCATTAAATTGATTTCCAATTTAGTTGTATCGTATATTTATACTGTACTTACATTTAATTCAACATGAAATTAATAATAATATTGGCATTGATTTCAATAGTTTGCGCGGATTTTGATATCAAAGACTATAAAGATGTGATAAATTCACGAAACTTTACGGGAAAAGTAGTTTTGGTGACCGGAAGTAGTTCTGGAATCGGGGAGGGGATCACAAAACTGTTCTCTATATTAGGGGCCAATGTTGTGGTCACCGGTAGGAAAGAAGCGGATGTCCAGAGAGTTGCTAAAGAAGTGCAAGAGTTGTCGCCAAAGAAACTAAAGGTTTGTAAACTTAAAATCATTAATGAATTGAAAGTGAAATCGAATATTAATTTTATATATAATGAACAGCCATTAGAAGTGGTCGGAGATCTCACACAAACTGAATTCATCGCTACTTTAATCGGCAATACTATCAAAACATTTGGAAAGTTAGATGTATTGGTGAACAACGCCGGTATATATCCGACGACAAACATCACCCAAACAGACGTAATGCAAGTCTGGGATCAGGTCTTTGCCATAGACTTGAGAGCAGTCGTCGAACTGATCCACGAATCGGTTCCACATTTGGAGAAAACTAACGGCACTATCATTGATATCACGAGTTTATGGGGAATATCACCGGTATCAATTTAATATTAAATATATTTAATATACCCTAGTACAATTCAAATTGTCTAATAGTCTGCCCAACGTCTGGCGTACGGGTCCGCAAAAGCCGGTTTAGATATTCTTACTAAAGTACTGGCCCTCGAATTGGGATCCAAAGGCATTCGTGTCAATAGTTTAAGGTAATTATTTTTTATTTATTATGAAAATGTATTATTAATATTATTAACTTAATTAAATGTTTTCTAATAGCCCAGGCTGTATACAAACGACTGATAAACCGGGCCCTATATGTGATATTGCAAAGACAGTTACACCACTCAAACGATTGGGACAACCATTAGATATCGCCAAAGGAGTGGTATTCCTGGCCTCAAGTGATGCCTCATTCATAACCGGCGCTAATCTGGTGGTCGACGGCGGATTCGTCTATACTATCGATATATTTAATACTCTGTAAAACAATTTTTCATATTTAACATGTATTTATATATGAATTTATGAATAATTACTACATTAAATTGTAACTATTAGGTGAAACAGAAAGTCCGTGGAATTTTTATCTTATCTTCTCATTTCAAAATGCTGAGTCAGATGGACCTTGTGGTTGTTAATTATTGTAGACTAGTTAGTGTAGATTAGAATAAATGGCG